AACCGGTGGTGGTGATCTCTAGGTTGTATGTGTCGATGTTCTTTACATTTCTACACATTTCCAATGACAATTGTTTATTTTCTTAGTGTTGATTTTGGCCTAATTGAATCCCTAATTAAAGCTTTGATTTTGGCCTAACTATTTTTTTTATCTACTATTGTTTGAAGTTGATTGATGCATCAAACCCGGTTCATGAATGGGTACTATGCAAGATAGAATGATCTGAGTTGTATTGAAGTTCGCGACTTCCATGATTCATCTCTGCGAATATTAGATAAAAAAAGCACCAGTATGCAGCGCAAGGAATTTGTAGCTCTCTATTTAATATAAATTGTGTGTATAAGCGGTTTGGTTTGCTGAATATATTCTTCAATGTTTTTTTTTTTGCAACTGATAGATAGTTTTGTTGTTGGTTTTGTTAAATATTTTCAAGGTAAATTAAATTAGTAATAGAACCCGCCTTGGGCTGAGGCCTACAAAATTATCAATACTAAAGCAATACATATTCATGAGCGCAGTGAAATCTAGAGAGCTCTCATAGAACCCGCCTTGGGTGAGTCGCTCGGGCGATGTAGAGCTCATGATTCGGATGGAGGGAAAGGTCAGTTGTGCCGGTTATATGCCCAATTTCAAATACCCAATGACAGGCACACGTCCAAAGAAACTCGGGTTCAGGTGATCACCGTGAACCAGCTTGACATGTGACTCATTGGAAGGAATTCATGCTTATTTATCGGGTCCGACGGCAATTAGGACCCCTAACTGGCGGCGAGATTGACATCTGAGTAGGGTGGCTGCGGGTGGCTAACATGATGGTGGTGGATTTTCATTTTTTCTTGGCCGGGACTGGCGGCAAGGCTGCACGGAAAATGGACGACGGTGGTACTCGATTAATCTTGCCGGGGCGGCGAAAGCAGCTCCACTTGTGCGAAAGGAAGTGTATTTGGCATTTGGTTGTGGGCTACAGATGGGCCATAATGTGAAGCAGGCCAATCTTAATGTTCCTGTTTTTTCATTGGCAAAATACACTTTCATAGCCATAATTTTAAACTTTGTGACAAATATAGCCAAGTTTTGAAAAATACACAAATATAGTCATTCCGTCCATTAATTTAACGGAACTTTAACGACGACTGACTGGACAAACAGTCGTCTGTGGTCTTGACTGCTTTCGCCTACGTGGCATGCCATGGTGGAATTTAAATTAATTATATTTATTATTAAAAAACCTAATTTACCAACTTTTCTTGTTATTTTCCTCTTCTCCATCCGCCCCTTCCCATTCTTCTCTTTTCCACTTGGCAAAAATCCCACCTCCATTCCACCTCAACTCAATCTGCGATTCTCAATCGACGAGAACCCTGCAAAACCAATCAACGAGACCCTGCAACGAGAAAGCAACCTCCGTCTTTTTCCCCGTCGCACCAGCAACTACCACCTCTGTCACCACCGCTTCTGTTAATGCTCTGGAGAAGCCTACCCACTCGGATTTCAAATCTGCACCGACTCAAGCTCAATCCATGGCGGAAAGAATCGGCAGCGGCAGCGTCGCCTACCCAGTAGTGGCTTGCCTTTTCTAGACCTAGTTCTTCTTCCACTCCATGACCAAACCAGCCAACAAGATCTCGAAAAATAGAGCAATCAAACCATGAAATTTTCCCTTTGTGAACTTGAAGGCATGGCGGAACAAAGGCGGGAGAGGGAGAGCTTCGAGATTTCTAATCTCAAGTAAAAGAAAGACGGTGTCGAGATCCTCCGCCACTCCGCTCAATAGATCCCGCCACCGGCGCGCTTTCTGCTTGTTGCCTTCTTTATCTCATCGCTCAAATCGCTCTGCGCGCTACTCTCTTCCTTTCTCACTCGGAGTTGCCGATGGATCAGTCGCCACCTACCTGGATTCATTCATCTGCTCCGATTCTATCTACTCTTCCTTTTTGACATTTCGCCTTTGGAGAAGTCTAGTCCTCCGCTACCACTGAGATTGGAGATAGAGAAAGATAAGGAAAGGAAGACGGAGACTTTTCATGTTACTTTTCCTCTCTTTTTTCATGTAATTACTCATTACAATAGTAATAAGATAATATGACGTGATATATAGGTGGCACAGCGTGTTGTCCAGGTGGTGGCCACATCAGCTTTATGTTTACGTTATTGACATTTGACGTTGTAACTGACGACGTTAAACTTTTTAACAAAAAATAGCTATATGTGTGTATTTTTCAAAACTTGGCTATATTTGTCACAAAGTGTGAATTTATGGCTATGGAGATGTATTTTCCCGCTTTCATTTGGTTAACTTTTGTAGTACAGAAGGAGCAAAAGATAAAATAAAAAGTAAATATAATGATGACCTTTTTCAAATGGAATGAAATTATCTCAAATTGTTTGTTTGCACTTTGCAGGAGTAAAAGTAGAACATGGTACGGATATTCTACTTTGTCTGTAAACTAATGTTTTATTAATACTACGTTAATAGTTATAAAATATAATCACCAAATTATTTTAAAATTAAAGTAATGTATAAATAATATGTAAGTTACCATTGAATCCATTAAATACGAATACTATATGTGCTATATGGGTTTTATTGTGTTTAGTATAGGAGCAATCAAATTAACGAGGGAAATTTAAATGGGTTAACAATAATATAAATACACAAATTTTAAATGAATAAAATAGGTACGTCAACTCCGATGCTAAAAGCAGAAACAGTAATCACTAGCTAATTTAAAATGGAGCTACGCAATTATTATTGAAAAGAACAACAAAAATATAAAAATGACAAATTCATGTCAAATTCCACAGCATCTCCTCACCAACCTCAAGTGTTGATTTGCTTGCTAGTGTCAACGTGTGGCTTGGGCCCATTGCATCTGCTTCAGGCGCCGAGAGAATGGGCCCTTAGCTGGCTATGTAATGCCCCGGCGGCCTGGCCCATTCGTCCAACATATAGGCTAATGGGAGAAACATGAGGCGAAACGCACAGCTTCATACAAAAGGGTAAAATTACAGTGGTTCTCCTCCGCAAAACCCTCTGTGAGCTGCAATTTTGAATCTTTGAAAAGCCAACCCATATTTTGGGTTTATGTATTTTGTAGATTGCCATACTATTGTCATTTCTATATCTAATAATATTTCTTTTAACTGTGTATAATTGATAATATCGAATTTCTGTATTAACAAATGATTTTGTAAACCCCACACAAACATGTGTAACGTCAATTTGTTAATCTTTACATACCCTTATAGTTAACCATTTTCAAAAACAAATTATGACTTGCATGCGCGGGAAATCATGGGTATATTTTGAAAGCGGTCTATAAAAATATAGAATTAGAAGATAGTTGTATATATGAGTAAGCATTGTACAATAATAAGGAAATAATTCAAATAGACGGCTACTATTTCTAATACATAACTTTAATTTTTTTTATTTGTCGTACTCACTACTCACCCTTGCGGATGGATTAGATAAGAGCGGGTGGTACCACAAATCCACAATAGATTACTCAACTTTACTATTCTAGCTGATAGCGTACCTCTCCCATCAATTAGTGCAGGATGTTTGGTACCGGTATTTGGGATATACCAAATACCATATCGAACTTATCACTATTAGGTATTATCGAATACCGATTTATTTTTTAGGGATTGAGATTGAGATTCAATTTGAAGTACAATTTGGTATTTGAAATTATGGGATTGTGATCGGTATATACCGAAATATACCGAAATACGGAGAAACAACAAAAATTAAAACTTAGTGAAATATAACACACGACTTTTGGTCATTCCCACTCTTTCATAACTCACAAGTTCCCATCCAACTCAACTTTTGCTTTTCAGTTTATGTCACTCTCATCTAATCCTTTATTATTTTCATAACATCAATAAGAAAACAGCATTATTAGTCATTTCTCAGCCTTCAATTCGTCAAATTAAAGATTACCAATGACAACAACTTTAGTTGTCACATATGCTACCTTCTCCTTATCCATTTTCTAGCTATAGGCAAACTCAAGACTCTTTGCTTAGTCTCTTTGCCCTAAATTAAACTATAAAATCTAATTTATATATTTAATTATTAATTACAAAGATAATTAATTTCGTATTCGATAATACCGATTGGGATACCGAAATATTTAGGGATTGGGATTGATTTTAGGGTGTAATTCGGTATTCGGAATTTAGATATTTGGTATTGGAATACCGATACCGTACCGATTTCCATCCCTACCCTCAATAGTGTAATACTAGATTAGTGGGCGGCCCGTTGGCCGAATGAAATTTGATAAAAACATAGTTTCAGTCATTTATGATTTTTTCCGAAGTTCACACTCTACATGCTTACGCTATCCATGTAGTAGGACCTAAATTTTAAATAGCGAATGGGACTAATAGCGTTATTATGATATGTTCAATGTTTTCTTAATATTTGAATACATACATTATAATCTCGTACAAAAAATAAGGGACTATTCTCTCGTTAACTACACTTAAACCTTAGCTTTGTCATTGCTAAACATTATCATTTTCTTCATCACTGAATTCACTATCATATCATAGAATACCACCATCTTTTTAGCCTACGCAATAATGAAATTGGAGTTTTCTTAAAAAATGAGTTTTATCATGAAGTTTTTGTTTAAAGAGTTGGCTTGAGGCCACGGTTTTAGAAACTTCTACATTTTGTGTGAAGACCATTGACTTTTTTAACATGAATATCAAACCAAACCCAATCTAAAAACAGAAGCCCAAGTTCAGGAAATCATCATAGGTACTTTAATCTCACCAAGAACGTCTTTATAGGTGTGTAGTCGTAGATGTTGATGTGTAATTAAGTAAGACTAAGAACCAAACTGACTAAAAAGGAAAACAAGAATAAAAGGAAAATATCTATCTTAAATTTTGGCGAGGAAGATCTTGTAACGGATCATCCTTCACCAGCTAACTCATCTCGACAATTATCACTTGTTGCTAATTGATTTGGTTTGGTGATAGTTATATATAATGACAGAGAGAACAACAAAACTTTGCTAATTATATTTTACCCAAACCTAACCTCGCTTCATTCTATATATTAATACTCAAATCCATCTCAGTCACTAACTATTTTTCTCACGTCACATATCATCGCCGGCCGATTCATATGGCTCCGACGACTCCTAACGTCAAAAGCCGGGTCTTGATCATCGGGGCGACGGGTCTCATCGGCCGGCATGTAGCGGAGGCCAGCCTGGACGCCGGTCGGCCCACCTACCTTCTCACACGGTCGACCTCTTCCGCCGCCGGCGACCCTTTAAAAGCCCAACTACTCAAGTCTCTTGAGGACAAAGGTGCCATCATCGTACAGGTATTCATCAATGAAACAATTAGATTGACTTATGTAACGTACAATGTTTTTATAGACGTTTTTTTTTGTATTATTTTTTTATGAGAGTTTGCTTTGAATTGATTTGCAGGGTTCGGTATCGGACAGGGAAAGCTTGGAGAAGGTATTGAAAGAGAAAGAAATTGAGGTGGTGATATCAGTCGTAGGTGGAGGGAATTTGCTTGACCAGATTACACTTGTCCAGGCTATCAAATCTGTTGGTACCATTAAGGTAAACCCAAAAAATCGAACCCGAATGGACACCTCTAGTTACTCATCGTTTGCTCACCAAGACTTTGTTACCTATAAATAAACGTTACAATTCTTGGTGCCCATATCAGACCAAAATATTATCTAATCTATTTATAATTTGCTTCGGGATATTTTTGCCGTTGCCGTCGGCAAGATTTCGAAAAATTATGCGGAATCAAAAAAAATTTCGCCACGATCGGATAACCGAGCACAAAGTTACGTTCGTTTAAAGTTTCGACGCAGGTTAGGCCTTCACCGCGGTCGTTTCATGCGGTGAAGCTATCACCGTCTTTCTCTACAGCGGTGATGCAATCACCGTCCTCCTCTAATGCGGTGATGCAATCACCGCTTTTCTTTAATGCGGTGATGCAATCACCGCCTTGCTCTGGCGCGGTGAATACCCAAACATGCGTAAATTGGAAAAAAAATTTCATAACGTATGTATTTTGAGAATCTTTTTTAAAAACATGTGTACAGTGAGATTTTTCCAATAGTGAGCCTACCTTTAACATTGACAAGCCTGTTTAATATTTGGCCCAAGGCCCAAACTTAATGTTCCCTCCCTACTTTAACTTGGCACCAAATAAGAAAACCAAAAAACATACGAATGATGAGAAATGTGGTTGTAAATGGTGCATATATCAGAGGTTTCTGCCATCCGAGTTCGGGCACGACGTAGACAGAGCAAACCCAGTGGAGCCAGGGCTGTCCTTCTACCAGCAGAAGAGGCAAGTGAGGCGCTCCATCGAGCAAAACGGCATCCCGTACACTTACATCTGCTGCAACTCCATCGCTTCATGGCCTTACTACGACAACACCCACCCTTCCGACCTCCCTCCTCCCCTCCACCACCTCCCCATCTACGCCGACGGCAACGCCAAAGGTACAATCATTCTGTTATGAACTTCAAGTTCGTTGATTTTTTTTGCCAATTTCTAGACTATAATGAAAGCTCTATGACATGAGACATGTCCACCAGCTTACTTTGTGACTGGAGCCGACATCGGGAAGTTCACAATGAAGACGGTCGACGACCCTCGAACCTTGAACAAGTCGGTCCATTTCCGACCGGCGGTGAACTACTACAACATGAACCAGCTGGCTTCTCTGTGGGAGAGGAAGCTCGGCAGGACTATTCCTCGCGTTACAGTCACAGAAGCCAACCTGCTAGCTCTTGCTGCTGGTATCTGTTCACTCACATTATATATCATTGTTTCTTCTTCTTCCTCCTCTTCTTTAGCCTGTTGATTACGTTTGTTGTTGGGTTTCTGTTCGGTAGAGAATCGGATTCCGGAGAGCATAGTTGCATCATTCACCCACGACATATTCATCAAGGGCTGCCAATCGAACTTCGAGATCGATGGCATCAATGATGTTGAAGTCAGCAGCCTGTACCCTGATGAAACCTTTCAGACTGTTGATCAAGTGTTCGCTGACTTCGCGCTCGGCCTTCAACACAAATCATGAGATGCATAATGCAGTTCCTGAAATCTGATGATCGTCAAAGATACAGCAGATTCTTCAGGAATCTTCAGTTCGGAAATAAAGATCCAGTACGGGAATCTGAAGTAATAAATACTGGGTGGAAAGAACTTCAGTGATAATAAAAGCAATGGAGCAGAAACAAAATTTCTGAAGGATGCTTCATGTAATCGGGATTCAGATACATATATTACACTTTCTGATACATAGGCTGCTTGTTCTCACAACAATACATTGCTCGAACTTGCTGTCAATTCCCGCCAAACCAAAGGTGACAAACAAGAACAAAAATAAAAATAAAAGAGCTACTGCTAAACAAGAAGGCTACATTTCTGACTTGGCTATAACACTTCTATGTACAATTTCTAGGCTTCGATCGAGGGTTTCAACTAAGAAACTTGGACTAAAAATGGATCGATCAGGAGAACAAAGACTGTGGAATACATTATTATTTACCAGCTCCTCATTGCATGCTTAACCTAAAAACCTAAGGCAGCAAGGAAGTCTTCTCTCTCTATATGAACAACAGACGGACCTCCAGTTAGGCACTACACGTCATATACAGGCATGCGCTCTTCTATGGGCACACGACAGAGTGGACACTTCTTACACTTCTCGCAGCATGTGCTGTAAGAAGAAAAAAGACGCGATACAGTTTCAACAAATGCGATTCATTCAGTCAATGATGTGGATTTCTTATTGGCAAGCAAAAAAATGTTTTCTTCTACTTCAAGGAAGTGGAAATGAACAAAACATGGGGAAAAGTCCACATTACCTGCAGAGGGCATGATGCCTACAAGGAAGTATGACCACATTAATGTGTTCCTCGAAGCAAATTCTACACAGAATCTTTTCCTGGAACAAGCATAGCAATTTATCAATAATTAGCACAAATATGGGAAAGGAAAGCTCAAACGAAAGTGTTGATGATTGCATATGTTACATTCTGCAGTCTCTCGAATTCCTGCTGGCTATACTTTGTTATGTCTGTTTGCTCGCTAAGTGCAGCTTGTAGTTTCCATATCTGATATGAGAATAAATAGATACTCTGATCGAACTGAACCAAATAAAACCAAATTACCACGAGATAATAGACACTACATTTACTTACCTCGTCAACGAGTTCAGATTTGGGCATCTTCCTGACGATGTCTGGAGAGAAAGTGTTGTAGCTGAAAAGAGAAGATTTTGCACATATATAAGATCAACAGTTGCTCACAAGTTCTCAATATTACAGTTGGCAGCAGCGTCACCCAGTCTTGTTTTCCATGTCAGCAAAGGGCTTATACTATCACCAACACATATCCCACCTCATTCATCTGAGAATGACTCAGATTAGCCAAAAAAAATAAATCTTTCTTATACAATTCTTTAATGAAGGCTCCATGTAAGCCATCAACTCGGTCTAAAAACACACCTAGAACTGTTATCATGGTACAGTCTAGCCTGCTCCTCTCTGCTTCCTTCATCAATTGACCACCAACCAAGTAACCTGTGAAGATAAAATGAAATCTCAGTTATCAATGCTGCTTGGACAATTTGCAGGACCTAAAACCGCACCTGCATTTGCTCCCAATAAAACTTAGTACCTAGATCCACGTCGCAGGAACCCAAGAAATTCCCGAGCCTTTGACACGAGGGCGAAGGAGGTACCAGGAAAAGCTCCACTGCTTAGTAAAATCACCATTTTCTCAACCAGTCTATAAGCAGCAAAAAGCACCCCAGCTCCTTGTAGCACGAAAAGAGGAGCAAATAGACAAGGAACTGGTATATTTCTGGCACCAGCTGGTGTTCCCTGGATTTGGGGGGGGGGGGGGGGGGGGGGGGGGGGGGAGGGGGAGAATCATTGGATGAGCAAGAGTAAGATATAGTTCTATTATTCAGACAAGGGACTGTTGAATGCTTAACATACCTCCAACCGCATAAAGAGCATGATCTGGAAAGTAAGAAAAGGAATTTTCATAAAATGTCCACCAATATCTTGCAGGTTGCATATTCTAGTACTTGTATCTTCTTCTGAAGAAAACATTGAGCCCCTATTCCAGTCTAGGTACCCAATAGCCATTGAAGACGAGCTAGATCCTCCAACGTAAGAATGATCATGAATCGCTGGATTATACCACTTTGTACAGACCAGAAAAGCAAAGCACTCTGCAATCCTGCACAGGTAGAACCAACAGTCTTTAAATATAAACAACCATTGAGGTTTTACTTTAAATCAGAATGAAATGGATAATATCATACCCATAATTTATAAACAAATCCCACCAACCAAGAGCAGCCACATCACCTGCATACAATTAAGGCAAGAACAGATCACCATTAGAACAAACAGCTTCTCATGTAGTGACAAACATGTCGGATTGTGAAGTGTGGTCTAAGCTACAATCAACACCAAAGCTACCCTCTACGGTCATTAAGGCAAGAACAAACAGCTTCTGACGCAGTGACAAACATGCTGGATTGTGAAGTGTGGTCTAAGCTACAAGCAACACCAAAGCTACCTATACATGAGAAGCTGCACAAATGTTGGTCCTTCAAGTAAGATTTGCAAACTATCATACTTATACTTTTAGAGACCAGAGTAACCACCAACTAGTTCACTTTCCCCTGTACAATTTGATAAAACACCAATAATTTGAATTATGTGATACGGCCTACATATGATATTGCAAGTCATCCAGCCCATACTTTTGGCAACAAGAATAAGCAACAACTAGTTCACTATCAAATCTGTTGACAATGGTTGGCCAACATTCATATGAAACGGAGCCACACTCATGCTAAGAAGCCAGTAATCTTACCACAGAATATCAAGCTGCTGCCAATTATACATTGTGACGCAGGAAATTACTAGGTGTAAGTGTTCTATTATCCCCCATATATAGGTGATGTTGGCTCCCAAAGACTGAATCTAGGGTGATTGGATACTTTCATTCTCTACCACAAAGTTGACCCCTTAGCCCTTAGGTTTCACAAACTTTTGAGACTATCACATATTCACTCTCTTATCCAGAAATTTGTTTATTCTTTTAAGATAACAGCATGGCCAGTATTCGTAAATGAGAGAACACCAACATTTTGTAAGTAACCCATGAAAAATGAATTCTTTGTTTGTCGCATAGGTCTGAGCTCTCCAGAAAACCGGGTAATATTATGCAATGTACAAAGCACATTAGCTATGTGGTATGGTTATACAGGACTCAACTAAACTTACCACATAACTTCAGAAGAGTGAATGCTGTTGCCGCAATGAAGAAGACCATGGATATTGCAACCCAGAAGTGCTAAAAAGCAAACATCATAGATACGGCATCAACATTTTTGGGCATGCTAAAAACAAAATGTAAGCAGAATAACTTGTCAAAGTCCAACAGCGAGAAGTAAAGTTCCCCTGTACTGGCCTTAATGCAGATTAAGAATCAGATACCCTTCGGAAAGACAAGGCTTGTGTTAATGACATACTAATTGTTCTACCATCCACCTCGAGTTATTCATTCACCAAACCTTAAATCATAACTACTTCTTACTGAAATACTAGATTTGCATGGATCTTGTGTTTTTTTGTATGTTTGGCTCAATATATTAGTGTGGTCTATTCTCTTCCAAAACTAGCAAAGCTTGTCTGGAGTAAACATTACGAAATTTCAACAGTCAAGAAGCAGAAGTTTGTCTTTACATGACCAATAATAGACAAATAAAGAAACATCATAGTAAACATTACGAAATTTTCAACAGTCAAGAAGCAGGAGCTAGTCTTTGCATGACGAATAATAGACAAACAAAGAAACATCATAGTACTTACAGGAAGGGTCTCCCATATTTGTTCATCACTCATGCTTTCTTCATCCCCAGGCATAAGAGCTCTACACATCCTTTAATAAAAAAGAAAACTAGAATAAATAGCTCTCAATAGCAATCGACAAGATGAAGAAACTATGTGATTGATGATTTCATGTGGTTGCTAACACAATAGCACTTCAGATGGAAATTTTTCTTTCAATAGAGGTCGCACACACAGCACACAGATGTTCCAACAATGGAGATACAAAGAATGATGAAAATAAATTAGCAGACACCAAAAAAAGTACAATTATATTTTGGTCAGTTACCATATCTGTGAAAGTCCACAACTTTCCCTTTCTTTTTTTTATGGACGATGGAGATATTGCTGCTTTAAGATAGTAGCTATTCTGAAAGACAAACAAAAAGCAGCATACTCTAAACTGCACATCCTAGTATTCAAAGAACCAGTGCCCCTTCGCTCACGCCGCCAAGTAACAGATCTCAGATATAACTGAATTCTGGTTTCAGGTTTCTAGAAAATGAAAAAGGAACTGAAATTAAAAGAAAGCCAAGCACAATTCATAAAAAAATCAATTGTACAGTCCAAGTCTGTTTGTGTAGTTCTGTAACTGTACAGTGTTAAGTGGTTTAGCTGGTCATGAACAGTTGTAGATTTGGTGCCAGTTAGGGTGGCTATCTGCTGCCCTACCTTGATGAATAAAATTGCTTATTCATAAATAAAAAACAACCAAGCACAATTCAGAATGTACAAGCATAATAAAATTCTACACCTCCGTCTGTAAATGGGAATAATAGGGGTGCTTCTTGGTCACCACCGTCAAGAGAAACATAGGAAAATAATTAATTCAGAAGTTAGATGCTCGTACGAGGCAGTACGACCTCCGAATTTGTATAAAAACAGCATTGGTAACTTAAAATGATATCTGGGCAATACCAAGTGGTTTGACAATGATGTTTATGTACATGCATCTACCAGCATGACCTACCAGTTGGGGGAAAATAAGGGCATTTGAGAAGGTACCTGATATTATCAATCAGAATTGCCATTTCAAATGCTATCAATGGCATGAACACAATCTTCAAGTCTACAACTGCATTGTTCAGAAATGCAATAAAGTTAGGAAGTCAAAAAGTTAAGATATGTAGACAACAACAGATGTCTATGTACAATTTTGGGTCGAAACTGCTAAAGAAAATAAATGACAAGCTTGAATAACTTCCATATACCAGGGACAATTAAAGGAATGAATCATGAAAAAACCAAAATCATGCAGAGAGACAAGAATTGTAGAACAAAGCTATGAGATTGTATTCATGTATTGTACATGCTATCACACTTACCATAACTTCCTTCCAGGTGTATGCAAAGGAGAAGTTCAAAAGCAAGAAGCAACGGCGTTGCCAATATAGCATGTGTTGGTGCCCACTGCCCATGATAAACACAGAATTAAAATAAGGTTTTTTATAATAGAAAAAATGAGATGTAGAATAAAAAGAGAAACCTCAAATTAGCAAGATGGAATAAAAAAGAAACATTCCATAGCATACGTACGTGGCGATCATGAGGCATTGATGGAGCCGGTAAAGAAAACCGGCCACGAGCTATGACTGCATGAAATAGCCACAAAGGTGCAAAAATAACCCTACGTGAAAGAAGACAAGCAAGATATTACTCAGTAATGTGAAAAGTAACTTCCATTTATATCATAAAAACACAGAACACAAAACAAACCTTGATGTACAAGCAATAAAAAACAATGAAATAGATCGAAATAATAGCCTATGCAAAATACACAAACAGGATGCTACTGCTACCAAATGATTAACATAAAGATTTTGTATAATTACATCAACTAGAAGACGGTTACAAGAGCAAACCGTCAACTGGGGACATTATATTTCTTCTATACATGCCATAAAGACAAAGACACTGCAAGCTTTGATGGCCATAATTTAGTATAGTTTTTCTGAGACTGATGTGCTTAATTAGTAGTTAGTACCTGTTGTCAATTTCCTAACTCCTAAACAGTCACATGCATCTGAAGTCATTACAAGCATTAATTAAAGCTTCAGGACTGCTTTCTTATCAGCCATTACATCATGAACAAATCTCATCAACCTACTAACCCCATTTTTAGATTTATAAAACGATAAAAAAAAAATTCCCTCTCTATTCCTTCTACATCTCTTGCCTCCCTTCTTTCAATCACAACCAGCCATTTCATGAATCGCTAAATTTCCTTCCCATACACACCATCAAACTATTAAGGAAAGGACAACTACTTACTCCAAGTACTTCAGTTAGCTACTATTCATCAATAAGAATTCAGTAAGCATCAACTTCTTGTCAATCACATCACAAGCAAGACAATACCAACATCATCAACCACTTATATAAAACAGCCGAATCAGTTCATCACTGACTACTAATGGCGTCAGCACACCGAGATCAGTGAAGAACAGAGTCATATACAAAGGTGGCATACAAGTAACAGACAAATGCAAGATTGCAAGTCACTGTAACCCCAGAAGTTATCTAAAAGATGGAGTGCAAAACATTAAAAACTTGCTGCCCAACTGCTAGACGACTAGATTACAATATGAATTCTGAAATGGAAACCTCATTGTACGTTTAACCGGGTCCTCCTGAGCTTCAAGATATTGCATTTATATTTTGTGGGGCAGGCAAGTGATGCTACGGTTCCTTATCTACAAATTCAAATTAGTTTACTTTCTTCACTTTTGTTTTCTGGTTCATCACAAAACCCCTATTACAATTGAGGTGTATAAAGAGGTAAGCCCCTTCACATCAAAACACACTCATGTGCATCACAGTCTGATCAATCCCTCGAGAATAAAGGGCAGGGGGGCGGGGCACACATCCATAAAGCCCAAATATTCCCATCAAAACACAGAAATCCTAAGACAAAGCAAAGGTTGCTTGGAATCTGTGTTTAGTAGGGATTTATTGGCATGCTTTATGATTAAGAAAGCGAAGACTGTATGACCCTCGATTAGACACAAAGAGACAAACCATAAGTCTGAATCGAAAAACAAAATCATCCATATATCGCCCAGCCTTGTGGGGCAAAAATCATATTCTGAGGAAAGCAAAATGGTAGGACCTAACACCTTGTCCAACGGAAAATCTGAAATAGGAGAGGCACCAGAAATCCAAATTATGAAGGGAGCTTAGGGAAATTCACTACCGCCAACTGGGTCCTGCAAACTACCAGACCCCAAAATAGAAGAAGCAGCAAATGAGAGCATCTGAGAAAAAAACTGGACCACTTGAGGAAAGCTGGAAAAGGAAAGGTTTCAGTCCATCCAAATACATGCAACAACCGCAATACGAAATCTTATACAACAAATTAAAAAAACCTTCGAATTCATGTCCAAATCACTCCAAATTCCCCCAAAAAAAAATGATAATAGCAGCAAAACAGGGGAAGAGATAAAACAGGAAAAGAAGCCCCGAATTTCTACTGTACTTCCAAACCACCATTCTCACGGAAGCCGAGTAAGTGAAGTGAAAGGAAGGAGAACTTACCACCATGAGTAAGAAACGGAGAGCTGCAACTTGAGAGCAAGGGAAAGGGTGAAAGTGAAGAGAAGGGCATGGGCTACAAGGGCTTGCAGAGACTTCCCAACTCTCCGCCAGCTCATTATCACTCTCCTCTCAACCAACATCTTCCCCACCTCCTGCCGCCGGCGAGTGAGCAGAAGAAAGAAAGAAAGAAAGAACCTCCCTCCGTCCTCCCCCCAAAATTCCCTTGTCGAAACTATCTGTTTCCCCACAGACAGAGCTTTCAGCTCGATTTCCACGGAATGGCCGTGACAGACAAAGACTGACAGCCGAATGAAGGAACTCGCAAAACTCCTTGCGGATAGAAAGAGAAAGAGAGAGTGGGAATCAACGAACGGAAACTACAAAGGGAGGGAGGGCGGAGCGGGCATAGACTTGTGAAAGAAACGGCAAGAGAGAGAAAGCAAGGGAGGGAGAGAGAAAGAGACTTCGCTTTCACGCCAAACCAAAAAAACATAAATGAGAATCAAATTCAAAATAGAAATGATTTTCATTAATTATAAACGGGAAAATGACTTCTTTTTTCCTCGTTTGACGGAGATTGACGCACTGCTCGGGCAACTAAGGGGGGGCAATTTCGTCATTCGAAGAGAAAGTCGTCACAAGGAAGCAACGATAATTAATTTATTACGTAGTGGATGAGGATATAATTAAGTAAAGTAGAGGAGAGGACCTAGTACATATATTCTGTTTGTTTTGATAAATGGGAAATGATGTTCGTTCGTTCGTCATCTAAACTGAAGTTAACGATATAAGCAGGAAATTCAGGGAGGACAAATTAAGGGACAAGAGATCATTTGAAATGACATACGGAATGGAGCGTCGGGTCGGCAGGACCCAGGAGCCAGAAGGTTCAAGATCAAGAGTGGGGATTATTACTTGTTTAATTGGAACCCTATATACTAAACAAATAAATGAAAGAAAGGAAAAATATTTTCTATAAATATAACAAGAAAATAATATTATTTCTATGACATTACTATTTGTCACCCTAAATTATTTTATTCGTCATCCTAAATTTTATCAAAATTACTTAAATATTCTTAGTTTAATTTTAGGTAATTTGAATGACCAACTATCCATATATTAGTGCTGCGACGTTTGCTCCCAATACATACAACTATACATCCCTCAATAACAAAATAAAATATAAAAAGATTAATGAATTACAAGTTACAACTACTGGGCCGTTTACTTGCCATTTCATTTCTGTTAGCTGCCACAACAGAAAACAAAATCAAAATGAAAACGAAGCTGACCATTTCCTGGAAAACAAAACCTGAAAAAACCTTGTTTAGCTGAGAATTTTGGTGAGTTCTGAAACTGAGTTCTGAAAAGAAATCCTGTTTAGTTGCTTCATTCTGTTTTCTGATGCTTGATTATCATACAACCCTAGCCATGATTATAATTTTAATTCGAATTAAATAGTTTTTAAACTAATAAACACAATACAAGTACAACATCTTATATTAATTAAGTACTAGTACAACATAAAAATTCAAATAAGTCCAGCTTGAAAGTCATCCCACAACTTGTTTGCTATTCCATCTCGTCGTGCATCCATCGCTCGAGTTTGGCTTGAACTATGATTATATGCTTCTCGTTCTTGTCCTCCTTGCACTCCATTGGCAAGGTCGCGGAAGTCATTTGCGTGACCTATAGTCTTGAGGAAGATTGCAACTTGTTCTACGACCATCACATTAGTTGTATCATTCAACCCACCATGTTGCTTCAATTCCTCACACAAAGCAAAGAAAATTTCTTTATCCATTCGGAGTGATTCATATATCCTAATCGGATGCCCACGGAGAAGTTCTTGAACCCAAGCATGTCCTGTTTGCACTGAGGTTCTACATGGCATCCTAATAGACTTAGATCGCTCATTCTCCAACAAAGCCACAAGCATTATGAATTTCAACTCTTCATCGGAATCTGAATCTGAATCTAAATTCATAAGTTCTGCAATGCATAAGAACTTCATTAGAAATGGATAATAACCCAAATACAAGTGATATAACACTCAAACATTCAATTACAACTTAGTTCATAAGGGAGTGAGGGAGATGAGCGGCGGGCTGGCGGCGGTGGGTTAGCGGCGGGGCTGGAGGGGAGTGAGGGAGATGAGCGGCGGTGGGCTGGCGGCGGGGCTGGAAGGGAGTGAGGGAGATGAGCGGCGGGGCTGGAGGGAGTGAGGGAGATGAGCGGAGGAAGTGGGCTGGAGGGAGAAGAGGAAGAGAGCGGCCGAGTTTTAGTCTCTAGGGTTGATTGAAGAGGGCAAAACGGCAGCGTAGGAAGCAGGAGGAAAAAGGTTAAAAAAAATAGCGCTGTTGTGAATCGAACGCGGGCCGATTGGAATGGATTAGTGCATTATCCGCTAGGAAACGGGGCATAACCCGTGTCATTGATTTCGGAAAACAGGTATTAATCGTTTTCCCAAAGCTTTCCCATTTGTAATAATTGGGTTTTTTCATGGAAAATGGAATGGTCAAGTGAACACGTTTAAATGTCATTTGTTTCCTGATTTTCATTTTTTAAACAGAAAACAGAAAATGAAATGGGAAGTGAACAGGGTATACACCAAATGTAACCATTAAAATATTATACAAATAAAAAAGAATTTCCAAAAAAAAATCAACATCTGCCAATTTCCTCCACCGCTTCGCCGCCACCTTCCATATGTCCCTGTGCAATTCTTTTTTCTTTTTTTTTTTTTTTTTTTTTTTTTGTGGAGACCCTGTGCAATTCTCGAACAAAGAAATCAGCATCTGCCAATTTCCTCCGCCGCTTCGCCGACCTTCTTTTTCTTCGCCTTCTTCCTCCTACTTGGTATCGACTTTGAGAGTGTAAGCCGAGCATCGGCGATGGTAGGGTTTAGGTGGACAGCTACCGGCGAGAAGAATCCGACAGCACAGCAACGACCGGAGGACAGAGGAGTTTGGCGGCGGCTGGCCAGGGTAATGGATTGTTTGTTTAAGGTTTTGTTAGAAATCGGGGTTAGAGGTTAAAAGTGTCAATTTGATGTATTTTAGGGCGACAAAAATTGTATTTTAGGGTGACGAATAGCGCTTCAGTATTTCTAAGATCTATGGGGGGAATTGACGCTTGTTTTTCTCTAATCTACCAAAATGGCCACTAGTATAAAATTGAATTTTTAGAATTTGAGAGGAGAATTGTGGGTTTGTGCATTTTAGGAGGAAGAATGTTTTTTACTAGGTTACACCTAAAAATAATCTTGAACCATATTGATTATTTACAAGGTATTAATTGTCTTTATAAGACCAGATAAATAATAACAATTAATTTGCATAAAAAAATAATAACAATTAATGTTATTTAAACTGGGTCTCATGATACTAGATTATTATGCCCAAACGACGAAGTTTGACATTGTCGCGTGGAAATAGACTAAGTCGGGTAGGCCGCATTCGTAGTGAGTCTACTAGACGCCTTCATCACGAGTTACGTTCGCCGCGAGTCCGCTAGACCGTGTTGGTCGTGAGATATAGGTCACAAGGTCTAAACCAACGAACTTGGACGTGAGAAGGAAAACTACATGGGGAGAGGGAAGCCACGAAATATACTAAGTTTGAGAGCTAGAGCACGTTGGTCACGAGGGAGTTAAGTCCTGCGTTGGTTGTGAGATCTAGACATCTCTAGTCTCGAGTGAGTTAGACCTTGGTGGTCGCGAGGAAGAGATCAGATTATGGTGGTCGCGAGTGGGCATTATCGCATTGAGTTTGATAGACCTCATTGGTCGCGAGGATGGTCATGGTGGAGAGGAGGCAAACACCAAAACTTCAGTTCCAAAAGAGAGAAGCACCTGGACGGTTAACGGAGTAACTGGTGATTATTCCACGTTCAAGGACACGCCAGCCACATCCGGGAAAGAAGGGAAGCAGTTCTTTTTGGAAGTTACTCTCTAGACGATTTTTCTACGACGATTACCACCCCAAGGCTTAAATAGGAGGAGTTGACAGAGAAAGGGTTCGCAAAAATCAATACTCGACACCACTTGTCAAGTTTTTATCAATTTTATCTTTCCTCTGAATTTTTAGTCATAGTCGTAGATCAAAACCTCCATAGGAGTAAGGTACTTTAATGTATAGTTTATGTCTTTTGAGTCGTGTAAACATCGAACACCCTAGTTCGAACTTTGTTTGAAGAGATGTAAAGTGTGTTAAGTTAATTATTGTACAAAGAAGTCAATGTGTATTCAATTCGATTTTAGCGCAAGTTTTCTCGCCAAAAACAAGGTCGGTGGGTGCTTCTTCAATTGCGTTTTGTGGTATGTCATTGAGGTATAATAGAGATGGTTCCCTGGATTCCTCTGAATTGGTGGTTAATCTGGTTTGGGGTATATGAAAGGAGTAACTAAGAATGTCGATTTTTATGCTTGTACGATGAATGTGTGGTTATTTCAGTTGAGTGGTGCGATGCACATGAAGAGTCGAGAACGTTTCACTATGTTGTTGTTTCTCCCAACATTACGTGAGGGGTTGGGTGAGTTTAGTAGGTGTACTGTGTATGTGGGTGGGGGTGGGGGGGTGCTCGAGTGCATTGTTTACACTTCCTAACATACTAGCGTACTTTAAGACTTGTATGACCAATATGTTAGGGTGGTAAAAACCTTAAATTGGCCATTTTGTATAAGGTCTGAATACATAAGGAAAGATAATCCTTAGTGTTATATAAATACATAACGACCATGCATTACAACAACAAAAAAATGTTGGCACATCCAAGTATGATAGCTTATCACTGTCACTGCTTATTGTTTTATCGTTACCACCACTTGCGAGTGAAGAGGAAGATGACATAAAGAAAAAATATAAATCGGAGCATGCGGGCAAGTTTTCTTCAAATTTAAGGGTTTAGGATTAGCTCACACATAAAAAAGAAGAGAATAACAAGTTCCAAAATCACCTGGGTGATGATTATGTTATTTCTTTATGGGATCATTTTATAACCGTTTTAAAGTTATGAAATCATTTTAGTTACAGTTGAGTATCAAAAGGTACCATTTTGGCTAATTTCCCATTCATGATTTGTAGATGTTGGACATGGATGTTGAGGTGGCAACTGTTAGCATGCGTTGATTGGTTGGAGACGTAATGGTTTTGTTGTGATTGGTGCTATATCTTTGACTCACTTTTGCTTTGTTACCTCATAAATAGGGATGGCAACAAAATCCGAACCCACGGGTACCCATCCGACTCAACCCACCCAACGCGGGTAAAATTCGAGTTGATGGGTTTTGGGTCGGGTTCGGGTTTAAACCCGCTACACTATTCACCGGGTTGAGTTGGGTTTGGGTTTAGGTAAACCCGTCCCATGGGTACCAGCCCACACACAT